GAAAGTGATCTCTTCAACGTGGAGGAGGAGGAGGAGTAGACGGCAGGTTTGGCGACTTGCGTATTCGTTTGCCCCATATATATTAAAAGATTTTGTTCTGTTCCTAAACGAATCATGCCTCTTATTATGCCTGATCGCAGAAGTGGAAGAGACCATTAACAGCAGCCACACCGGGTGCGTTGTTGGTGATATCTTCTTTCTGAAATGTATAGAGTGAGCTGTGAGTGGACCGAGCGGTTTGCGGCCCGCTTGCAACAGTGTATTGTTCACCAGGAGAAGAAAATTGAATCGTACCTTGCGCGTAACCGTAGAATGGATGCTGAACGGGCAGGTTAGTTGGGTGAAGCTACGCACATGTTCACGCCGGCAGTGTGGATGGCGCAATGACAAAAGCGTCATTCGATCATTACTGGACGATGCGGATGCGCGGTCCTTCCAGGTCAAAAACGCTTCCAATGCGGGTCGCTGTGTCGACAACCTGCTTGCTGCACATAAAATAAGCCTGCACGAGCTTCGGAGGCCAACGACGCAACGGATACATTCGTGCCAGATTCAGTAAGGATGCGGCTCACGCCGATCAAAAACGTAATTGTAAAGTNCAGTATTCGTCTCCTTTCTGAAGTGGCAGGTGACTTGTGGAACTTCCTCCCTGAGGAGGAGCGGCGCGGACTCGGTTCTGTGCCACTAAAACCTTTTTGAGACGCCGGTCTCAGCAGCAATTCCTGCGGGCGACCTTAACTCGGCGGAGGTTGAGCGGCTGCAAAAGGAGAATATGCATCTGCGCATTTGTATGCATGAGCTTCGCGTTCAGGCGAAAGATGACTAAAAGCACGAGTATGGGAAGCAGTGCATGCCCTGGCACAAAAACCAGAAGTGCCCCAATGAGCCAAAAAGAGGAGGTATACTTGCTGCGAAGGCGCTTGATGGAAGTCCGTTTGACGATTCCACACCTCCCTCTCCTGCGACAAGAGTGACCATTTGCTTGACCTTTTCGCTTGGCCATATTCTGTCTTGCCTCTCCGTCACACACCCGTCCCTGGAGCGGGGGGTCGTGAAGCCGCATGGTTAGGCGCGGCGGACGTGGCGCAGGCCCCATTGACGTGGGGAAAAAACCCGTTTCGTTGTCTGTTTTCCCCCAGTCTAGGGTTTCTCTCACCGAGTCACTCGCTTTCTTTGGCATTTATGTTCTCTGTTTCTTTTTTTCTTTCATTTGATCTGCAGGTGGTGGGGCGGTTGCGCACACATGCGTCCATCGCGGGGGCGCTGCATGTCCATGTGGGACAACCCCGCTTTTGAACACAACCCCCTCACGCGCTATTGGAAGCGCATGATGAAGCATAGCGGCGAGACACTGTCTGCGCAGAGCATTCCCCGCCACATCCATGGCTACCTTGAGGCCACAAATCCTCGTACCGAGAGCCTCGTTCGGTGGTTCCCCTACAAACAGCAGATGACAGTTGACGGGCGAAATGTTCCGACAGTTGGGGATGTGATTTACTCCCATTATTTCCCACGTGAACTAGACGATGACGAACGTGTCAAGTATATCTCTATTAAGACTGACCGCTCGGAATTAGAGGTGGCGGAAGAACTGTTTCTCATGCGCAAAATGAAGCTGTTTGTGGCTCAACTGTTGCGAAACAAGCTGCGGAGTCGTCCCTTGCGTATGCCTGAGGGTGTGGATTACTCTGGCATTGAGCGGCGCTACACGCTCGGTATTGCAAAAGTGGCTCAGGCAATGGGAATGAGCATGTACGGTACCCATTCGTACGATCCGGCGATTGTGTATTCTCCTTATTGTGATTTCGGCGATTGTATTGATTGCATCTGCACCAAGCAACTACGAACATCAACGCAGTACCTATTGTGTGAGATTGCACTACACCGTGGCATCGCACGCAGCCGACTGACAGATGTGAAGGGGGAGCCAAAAGAGCCGTTGCAGGACATTGAACCGTGTATGTTTGAGTTCATCAAGTTGCGTCTAGCTATCTTGGCGCTAGTGGCGAAACAAGAGCATTATGTTGTCGACCACCAATTTGACAGCGGTCACAGGTACGGCGGCTGCTTGATTCACCTATTTCCCTCGCCGCTGGACCCGGAGCTGATTGACCACGAGGTGCAGCACATTGAGCTTGACCTCGACCTGGCGCAGCGGTGGATGAAACACTATTACGATCACTATGTTGGGCCGAGGCGATCCGGTTCCTCTTAGCGTTGCTCCTTTTCACTTCCTTTTGTCATCACTCTGTGGGACAATGATGAAAAGGTTCCTGTGGCTGATGGCGTTCACACCCCATCGTCTGACAAAATTTGCGTGTGATTAAAGGCTGAGTTTTGTAAGTTGAAATTTCTCTGTTTTGCTCCTGTTTTTTTTTTTTTGCTCTAATCCCTTTTGCTAGATGAGGTGGGGGGCTGATGCACGAGCAGCGCCACGGGCAACCGCTTGCGTGCAGCAACGCTAAAGAGAATGGATGCATGCAGGATCCTGACGTTACGCCGAAGCAGTCGAAGTCGTTGCCATCGCGGGAGATGCACCGACAGCAAGTTCTCTTTCGCGCTCAGCAGCTTCTTGAGCAAAAGAAACGTGACATGGAAAACCGACAACAAGAGAAGGAAAGGAAAGCGAGTGAAGTAAAATCAAATGTGACAGGGGCTAAATTGGAGGAGGTTCGCTGTAGGAATCGTCTCACGGAGTACAAGGCGCAACATGCCAAATTGCTGCAAGCCAACCAGCAATGCACGCGCGAAGAAAACCTGCGTGGCTCCTTTCAGCGTCTGCAAGAAGCGTCCAATCGGCAACAAAACGGGGTGTTATTTCAAAAGCTCCGCACAACCCAGCAACTCGTCTCCTCGTTGCAGCGGGCGAAGGTCAACCGTTCATCGCTGGAGGCTGAGGCTGCAGAAAGGCGGCGCATCTGCGAGGAGAGGGAGGAGGCTCGCCAGAAAGCAGTAGAGGAGGAAAGAATTGCGAGAGAGATTGAATTGGAGCAGCGAAGACTTCTTCATGATGAGCGAGCACTAAAGTCTATTGAGTTTCAACAACAACAGGAGCTTCTCCTTTGGGAAAAAGGACAGCAGCGTCAGCGTGAGCACGAGGAGCGGCTCTGGCGGCATAGGCTGCAAAAGATGAGAGAGAGGTCAGAGAGGATGCAGCATGGTGCGAGAGAAAGCTCGCGTGTTTTGAGTTCNCGGCCAAGAGATGTGCATGGATCTTCGTTTAATTCACAAGAGAAAGAGAAAGAGAAAGGAAGTCGTGGTTTTCACCGTGTCATGACATCACCGGGGTTTTATCCGTGATTGTATTGTATTGTATCTCCATCCCTTTATATTCATGCTTTTCTTGCCTGCATATTTGTTTTCGTTCCTCCTTGACGGAGGCGCGTGGCAGGAGGGCAGAGTTTTTGCCGAAGTGGCTGCTGCAACTTTGTATTTGACCCCCACTGCTATTGTTTTTTGTTTGCTTTGTTGATAAATACGGCTGCATTTTCTTTTTGTATTTGCTCTTGTGGTTGCTGTTTTTTGGTCGGTGCCAGCAGCACGGTGTACCGGCGCCAGTTGCTTTCTCATCAAGGCGATGTCTCACATCGGAAATGGCTCCCCGACGGCGGCTGTTCTTGGCAGCCTCTCCCCGGAGGAGGCTGACATGCTGCGCGACGCCTTCATCTACATGGACCGCGACAACGACGGACACGTTGACAAGGGGGAGCTCCTCGCAATGGTGCGCCGATGCGTAGGCGAAGAACGCTTCGGCCCACTGGAGGAGTATCTCGTCCCACTTTTTGATGTGGCGGACAAGGACAAGGACCAAAAACTGAGTCTCACGGAATTCCTCATGTCCTTTGCGGATGGGCCGGGCGTGGTTCCGGCAGAGGTGATCAACAGCTGTGTGTCGTCCATCCGTGTTCGTCTCAGTGACGAAGAAATCGAGACGCTGCAAGAAACTTTCCGCCGCATTGACACAAAGGCAGATGGGTATATTGATAAGGATGAACTCATTGTGGCTCTTAAGGACAACCTCAAGCACAGATTCCCTGACCTGCGAGATAACAACTACAGTGACATCATAGCTGTCATCATGGCCAGCGCCGACGCCGATCGTGACGGACGGTTGTGCCTGTCGGAATTCATCCGGTCCTTCCAAGAGGACCAGGGTGTGCTTCCAGCAGCCTTTGTTGATGCACATGCTCATCAACTCGTGCAGCAACTTACACCTGCTGAGATCGAAGTTCTTAAGGAGGCCTTTGCCGTCTTGGATAGGAATCATGATGGATATGTAGAGTCCACTGATATATATGATGCACTCTGGGAAACCCTTTCGAGCGAGACACAGGATAAAAGCCAGATCCGTGAGATTTGTGACCTTATCATGGTTACCGCCGACCGAAATAACTCTGGGCTTTTAACCCTTGCAGATTTCGTGCGTGGCTTTGTGCAGAACATTACTCTGGCACAGTTGCCTGTCGCCGCCGCAGAGGAAAAGATGCAGAGAGCCTGTGAGAAGCTACAAGAGATGCTTGAAAGTGGCGAGCTGGAGCGGCTCTCGGTGCTGCCAGAGGATAAAGATGAAAACGCCAGCTGTGTGGACCCCAATCAACTTCTCGGAGTTCTCAGTGAGGTGTTTCGTGATGTATTCCCCATGTTGGACGAAGAGACACTCGCTGCCGTGATGGGCGCCATCGTCGTGGCGTCGGACAACGAAGGCAACAAGAAAATTTCTGTGGAAGATTTTATCCGCTGTTTCGCGGAGGGGCCACGAATCCTCTCCTTCGATTCAACCACGCCGCTGGAGTCATCCACTGTGACAGATGAAGAACTACAGACCATCTCGCAAGTGCTTCAGGAGCTCGGCAAAGAGGCTGATAGTGGGGGGTGCGTTCAGGAGCCGGATCTTTTGGAGGCCATCCGGAATGCGTTTCGGTCTGACCCAAAACAGGCGGATCGCGTTCTTCAATACGTCCGCGAGAACATCGTCCGGCGGAACTCCAGCAGCTCTCTCGTGGTAGAAGCATCTGCGCGATCAGTACCATGCGAGGAGGAGCGAAGCGCGGCGTCCAATGTGTTGGCCGCTGCAGACTTGAATGGGGAAAGCGCTGAGCTGAATTCACAGCCGGATCCAAAACAAAAACAACCAGAACAGAAACAGGAACCAGAGCAGAAGCAGGTGCAGGATCAGAAACCGGAGCAGAAGCAGGAGCAGGATCAGAAGCCAGAGCACGAACAGAAGCAGCAGCAGAAGCAGCAGCAGGAGCAAAAAACAGACCGAGAGAATGATCAACGCAAAATAACTCAAGATAACCAAGTCGCTCTGCGGGAAACAACTGGTGTTGGCGCAACCCAGCCAAAGCAGTGCGTTCCAACTCTCCTCGCCGTCCGCACTCCTCCGAAGTCCGTAGCGGTGCGTGCATTTGGCACGAGCTCGACGGTTTCAGATATGCTGATGAAGCAGCACGCCCGTCTCTACTTGGGTTCTGTCTACGACACTGCCGATGGCGCTATCTTTGATGATGAGCTTCGTATGGAGTTTAAAAAATATGCCAACGAAAACCAGCAGTATATTGACCGAGACCGCTTCGTCAAAGCGTATCTTGCGATGGAACACTATGGCTTGACGCCGTCTGAGACAGATGTGAATCGGCTTATCTCCCGCTACAGCAGGGGAAACAAGATTACATACGACGAGTTCTGCATCATCATGCTGCAGCGTGCTCGCATGTAGACTAGTCCATCATGTTGTACAAGACCAGGTATACCATTTCTCCGTCAGACCAATGTTTTGAGCATTTCCTTACTATATGCCATTGTTTTTTCGTTATGTATACCATGCTGCATCCTTCGACTTCTGTGATGTTTCAGAAGGAGAGCAGAGAACGAGGAAAGATTATTAATTCCAGGCTACATCCTTTTGTTCCCAATAGATTGTGGCAGCAGGCTATTTCCGTATACCTTTCATGCGCGCAATGCGTTCAAAAGAAACTAAAACAACTCTGGAGATTATGAAGGTTGCACCCTCGAAGGGATAATTTATCTATGCATATATTTTGTATTGGTTACTTTTTCCTTCCTTTATTTGTAGGATTCGAAAACAACAACAACTGATTTATCCATTAATACTAGGTGATAGGGCGCGATGCTGCAGCAATCCAGGATCGATATGATTTTTAAGTCGTTGCGCGACATTGTTGTTATTGGCGACAACGATATGGTAATTGTGGACATGAACCGTGCAGCCTGCGACTTCTTCGGCTGGAAGGTTGGGGAGGTTCAGGGCAAGAGCATCACGTTTCTCATCCCCAACCACCCCCTGGACGTGCAGGACAACACCGTCACGCTCATCGCCCGCCTGCGGAACTCTGTTGATATTCCCGTCGTCATTCAATCGACACGCGATCCACACGCCACGATGGTCGGGTGGACCATTCTCCCCATCATCCTGCCGCGCGTGTTCGACTTCGGCGTGCACATGAACCTCCGCGCCGCCCTGACCCCGAAGCTCTCAGTGGATGACTTGGACTTTGCCGGCCGCCGTGTCTTCGTCCGTGTGGATTTCAACGTTCCCTTTGACAAGGCGACGAAGGCAATACGCGACGACAGCCGAATCCGCGCGGCCATCCCAACCATCACAAAAATCGTACGTGACGGTGGGCGTGTGATTGTTGGCTCACACCTTGGCCGTCCAAAGAAGCCAAGTGAACATCTTTCTCTGAAGCGCATTCTGTCCCGTTTCGAGGAGCTGCTGGGACAGAAGGTGGTGTTCTGCCCCACGTTGGAAGAAGCACCCGCTCTTGTGGAGAAATTGAAGAATGGCAGGGTAATGATGCTGGAGAACCTGCGCTTCTTTCCAGGCGAGGATGCGACGAGTACTGCAGCGCGAAACCGGATGGCGTTGAAGTTGGCGTCTTTTAGCGATATTTACGTCTGTGACGCGTTTGGTACAGTGCATCGAATGACGGCAAGCATGACGGGTCTCCCACGTGTTCTGGGTGCCGGTGTAACCGGATACCTGATTGATCGTGAGATCAAAGCGATCAATATGGTCATGCGCAACCCGACCCAACCCGTACTCTGTATTGTGGGTGGGGCTAAGGTATCCGATAAGATTAATGTGCTTTCTAGCATAATGAAGTTTGCCCAGACAATCATTATCGGTGGCGCCATGGCTTACACCTTTCTCGAGGCACGGGGCCACTCGTGTGGCAAATCCAAGGTGGAGCGCACCGCGAGGGATAAGGGGCGCGACTTGGACCTTCACGCCATTGCGCGGGAGTTGATGGACCTTGCGAAGGCAAGGAGGGTGCAAATGATCCTTCCTGTCGACCATAACTGCGCTAAGTCATTCGCAAATGAGGAACCTTTCATTACAGGTGGGGCTGATATACCAGATGTTTACATGGCTCTGGACTTTGGCCCTAAGACAAATGAGATATGCTCTAAGGCTGTTGCAGATGCCCGGACGCTCATTTGGAACGGTCCTGTTGGGGTATTTGAGTTCCCCAATTTTGCGACAGGAACAACAGCCATTGCTGAGGCGATACGGCAGAACAAACAACTCGTTTCAATTGTTGGTGGTGGTGAGACAGCAGCTGCCACACAACGCTATCAGGAAAGCATTACACATACCAGCACAGGTGGTGGGGCGTTTCTGGAGCTTCTTGAAGGCAAAGCTCTCCCGGGTCTCATTTGCCTCACGGCTCAGGCTGCACCGAAGTTATAGTCTGTGGATTGTGGGTGGTTTGTAAATAGGAATATCTGGGTGATGACCACACATCCAGGAAGCCTTGCCATGCTTTGTGTTACTGGATGTGAAGATGGAGGAAAGCAAAAAGGAAAACAAAAACTTACCAAGAAAATACACACCGAAATCTGTTTTTTTTTCTTTTACACGATTTACTATTTATTGTGACGTAGTGCTTGATTTTGTTTTTTTGTCTTTTTGTTTGCCATTGACGCTGTGATGACAAATTGAATGCGGCCGCTGGGGGTGGGGGTGTTGACCACCTGCCTGCCATGGCCGTCCTCACTTCCGAAGGCCTACTGTGCCCTGTTTGGCTGAGACTATCTTTCTTTTCTTCTTCCACTTCTCCCACAGGTGTAAACAGCCAAAGGAGCGGCAGGTAAAAGTGGGAAAAAGCAGACGAGGAGATTGGGAATATTAACAAACAAAAGAACACGAAACAAAGAACAAAAAAAAAACAGAAGAATGATTAACGCGATAGACCCACATGATGCTACACTGGCACAACATTTGGCTCAGCTTGCACAGTGGGCAGTTTCCATGAACAGTGATGAGAGGGTCAAGGCAGAGCGTACAATCAAGGAGTTTCAGGATCGTGTTGACCAACAGACTGGATTTGTGTTACTCCTTCTCAACATGGCTGCTTCACCCGGGCCAGCAGCGTCTTTTTGTTCCATTGTGTTTAAAAACACGGTTAAGATGTGTTGGAATTCAACCACGGCTGAACATTGCATCACTGAAAACGACAAGGCTATAGCGCGTGACATTATCACATCGCTTATGCTTCGTGCTGCCCCGAATGTGCAGCGCAATCTTGCAGAGGCCATTACCATGATAGCCGAGATTGACTTTCCAAAGGCGTGGCCAAATGCTCTTGATCGCATTGTTCAGGTACTGATCAGTGAGAAGGATATGACGATGCAGTGTGCAGCGCTGTCAACGGCTCACAGTATCCTCGGACGGTACAGAAATCAATCGGACCTTTCTGAAGAGTTCGCAAGTGACTTACGGATTATATACACGGCGCTAACAGCTCCGCTACTCCGTTCCATGGAACTGCTGTTGGATGAAATGGAAAAGAATGGCACGGGAGCGAAGACGGCGTGCAAGGGACTTACTTCAGCAGTGGAATGTCTCCGTGACATGACCACCCTTGATCTTGGCGACGAGTTAATTTGGAGTATGGAGAAGTTTGTGAACGTGCTCTTGCGATGCCTTCAGTTCAACAGCTCTGTTGCCGATGATGCGAGTTTGATTGAGTTGAAATCTGTCGTGATGGCGTGTGTGACGCACTTTTTGCTTCGGTTCGACGAAGACTTTGAAAAATACGCCGGTGGTTTTCTGAAAGTTGTGTGGGACACCATTGCCTCCCCGGCGAGTCGTGCCAGTATGATGGACGACGTAGTCATTCAGGGAATTAACCTCCTCTCAGCCGCATGTCGCGGGTCGATGCGCGACGTTTTCAACAACGCAGAAGTGCTTGAAAACCTCGTGTTGCAGGTTATTCTGCCAAATCTCGCACTGCGGGATGATGATGTTGATTTGTACGAGAATGAGCCAGATGTGTACATTCAAAGGGACATTGAGGGCAGTGACTTTCATACTCGAAGGCGCGAGGCAGGTGAGCTGGTTCGATCATTAATTGTCTCGTTCCCTGACAAGTCTGCTCCGCTCTTCACCACTCGGCTGCAGCATCTCATAACATCTGCTGCAGCTGGTGATTGGAAGGCAAAGGATCTGGCCATATATCTGGTTTCTGCACTGTCGCTGGAAGGACAGTATGCGAACTCGCAAAGAGGGGCAACACAACGTTTGAGCAACCTCGTGCCATTTGATTCGTTCTTGAAACAGAATATCCTCTCTGAACTGTCGTCCAATGTGTCCACACAAAGCCCATTCTTAATCAAGGCGGGTTGCATTCGATTTATTGCGACCTTTCGGGCTCACATTGAACCTCAACTACTCCCTGAGGTGATAGCACTTTTGACCGCGTGGATTCGATGCCAAGATGAAGTGGTGCGTGCATACGCTGCAAATGCTGTCGAGCGAATTCTTACTGTTCAGCGATCTGGTCAGCAGGAATTTGTCATAACAAACGAAAACTTGGCGGATAAGGCAGCGCCTCTTCTACAAAATCTTTGCATGCGGATTCAGCAGGATCGGCGACCGAGTGCTTACACAATGCAATGCCTCTTGCGAGTGTGTCAGAACTGCAGTTCTTGCGTATCACCTTTTGTGGGCGACATCATCACTTGCATAGCCCCTGTTGTTAGAGAGAACGCAAAGAACCCAACCAACCCCCTGTTTAGTCATTGTATGTTCGAGGTGATTTCAAAGTGCATCCAAATCCGCCCAAAAGATGGTGCTGCTATTGAAGGAGTATTGTGGGAGCCCATGATTTTCATCTTGCAGAATGACGTGCTTGAGTATGTGCCATACACGCTTCAAATCATGGCACAGCTACTTGATACGCACGGTTCAAACTCCCCAGAGCCCCCAGCACACTATCAAGCTTTACTGGAGCCTCTTCTTATTCCTGACATGTACCAGCAGAAGGGCAACATTCCGGCCGTTGTTCGTCTTTTGGTGGCTTTCATAGAACACTATCCGCGCTTTGTGCACGGTAAAGGATTCACGGAGAAGACACTGGCGATTTTCCGCTCCCTCCTCCAGTACAAGAATTACGACCATGAGGGACTTAATATTCTCACAGCGATTATAATAGCGTACCCTAAGGAGATTATCTCCTCTTTTATGAAATCCGTGTACGAGGCACTATTCCAACGACTGCAAACTTCTAGAACGCCGAAATATCTTCGTATTTTGATCATTTTCTTGTCAATTGTGGTTGTTGTTCATGGTGCTGATGATGTCGTGGCCAAAGTGAATCTTATTCAGGATGGGCTCTTTTGGATGCTGTTTCAGCGTGTCTGGCTTCCCAACGTTCAGAAAGTTATGGGAACATTGGAGAGAAAAGTGTGTGTGGTAGCACTGGCATGTCTACTTGGAGAGTGCTCGGAACTGCAGAGAAATGGAGAGACATGGGCAACTTGTGTCCTTGGATGCCTTAAAATGATTCATGGCGCCGTGGAGAGCGATGACGTGACAAGTTTTACACCCAAATCACATACTGCTGGGGACTTGAAACAACACATTGACGATTCAGGATTCACAAATGTTTTTTGCCCACTGCAGGGTGCTGTCCGGGTCCCGATTGACGTCTGTCAATCCGTAAAGGATCCCAATGCGTACTTCCGTGAACGCATTCAGCAGGCTCTGTCTGGTCCTAGCGGTGCACACCTTGTGACTCTGTTGCGGGCCAACCCGGATTTGCTGGCAGTGGTGCAATAAGAAGAAGAAAAAAACCTCCGAGTTCAGCTGCAGTGATGGAGTTTAATAAAATGAATACCTAGTTGATCCATTGTTAATTGGTTCCACAGGCGTTAAAAATAAAAAGACTCACATCACTATCCCGCTCTCTTGTGAGAGAAGTGTGCTACGGTGTGTTCACTATATGCTGTCCTGCCAGGGGTGGCGGGGCCATGTGGTTATACCCTGTGAAGAGTGCCTCTATGAAGGACCATAATACTTGAGTAAATGCATCTGTATCCTTTTTTTTGTCTTTCTTCCTTTGTTGCACATTTGTTTTGTGATTGTCTCTTGTATCTAGAGTAGACTGGTCGTTCATCAACGATAACATCAGGAACAAACATTGAGCTTGCAATGGGCGTGTTGGGTCACTCCACCTCCAACTACCCAACTGCTCATAATCACTGCTTCCGCACTGTCTCATCCTACGATGCGAATTTGCACACAAAACGGAAGTGTTCAACGTGCGGCATTTGGGGAGAGAAGGGCAGCCGATGCACCTTGTGCGGGGACAGCATCCCTGGTCCGCGTCCGCGCCCAACTGGCTCACGGCTAAGCTCGCGTTCAACATCAAGCTCGGTCTTCCAAGGCGTGAGCCGAGACGAAAATGCTTTTAAACCACCGAAGCCTTTCCGACCGCAAGAACCAGTCAAAGTCAAGTGCTCATACTGTGGCATATGGGTCACGCCCGCGTCTGTGTGCCAACTTTGTCGAACGCCGGCGTGATTCTCTCTTAGAGCCTCCACCAAGTCTTGTTGCTTTGTACGATATAATGGTCGAATGTCCCTTGTACTATTTGTCAATGAGCTACATCATCATCTTACTCCTAATCCATCGATATCTAACATGTACAGTCGTAATAACATGTATGATGAGGTGAAGTGGATGGGGAGAAGAAAAAGGTATCTGATCATTTTTTTTTATTTGCACTGTTTTCTTTTCTTCTGGTTGAAGTTACTGGACCAAGTAAACAAAATCAGGCTCTTAGATGGGTGCAGCAACAACAGTTGACTAATCCACGGGTGAAGGGCGCGGTTTGCTCTAGCGCAGATGATACGGTGAGCAGCAGACGGGATTCTTTCGTTGTATTGTTGTTTTTGATGCCTTGCTGGTTATGTTGTTGTTTTATTGTACGCTTCTGTATTATAATTGCTTCGTTTTGGGGTGAAGAGGGGGCTGGATAAGTGCCCCGACATGTACGTCG